TAATTATAATAAATATAATATAATAAATAATATAATAAATAAAATATTAAATAATATATAATATATAATTTATTTATATATTATAATATAATGTTATATTTTTTATAAAAAATAATACAATAATTATAATTAATATAAAATATATTTTCTCATATATAGATGTTAGAGTATTTAGTCATTTGTTAAACATTTCACCATACAAATCTTAACATTATCCAATACATATATATATATATATATATGTATATTTGCTTTAGTTGACGTAATTTAAATAAAAGTATAATCAATTTCTAATATCAAGATTTCTACTAATACAAACAAAAAAAAAAAACGTTTCAAACTTAACAGTTTTTCATCGACCTAATCTACCATTCCCCTAGTTTTGACGTAAGAGTTGTTGTTCGTTTGACTCACAATCCTCAATCAACAAAAACCCTGTGAAAGGATTGTTTTCTTTTTTCCTTTTCTTTTCTTTTCTTTTTTTAAGTTACTCCTCCTACCTCTTACTTCTTCGTTTCATTTAGTTTTTTCTTTCTTTCTTTCTTTCTTTCTTTCTTTTTTGCTCAAGGTATCTTATTCTCTGTCTTTCTCTTTCTTGGTAAGAGGAACGAGTTACTCTCTTTTAGTGAGAAGAAAGTGTGAGAGAGAAAGAGAAAGAGAAGCCCCGACAGATCAATACGGCACAGTCGTCTCTCTCAGCAGACACAGGCGTTGCTGTTGCTGCTCCAGATAACAAGGTGGAGGGCCTGCCCTATAAGCCTCCATTTCGAATATTACTGAAAATCCAAGCACAAGGGCCTTTACTCTTATTTTTTTTGTTTTTTTTTTCTTTCTTTTTTTTTTGTTTTCTATTGTACAATCCAAACTTTTCTGACAATCAGACAGGAACTGTAGATAAAGAAGTTGTTTCATCAATAATTTGTGACAATTACTTGTTCCTCATCTTTCAAATATATCCATGGTTTTTTTTCTTCTTCTTCTTCTTCTTTTTTTTTATATTTGTCAAAACTAACAACAATATTAACATTTATTTATTTTTTTTTTTACGATATCTTTGATCATTATTTTACAGTAGTGGAACTATATAATACAAATGTTCGAAACCATATGGTTAAATATAATTTTTGTTTTTTTTTTATAACTTCACAGAAGAAAATAAACAATTTACAAATTATGTAATATAAATAATAATTATATTTATTATTATTGTTACATCCTGAAATTATTCAACATATCAAATCCTCGTTAATAAAATCAACGTTTTCAATAAATACGTAAAAGAATCATTATAATCATCATTCATCATAGGATAAAACAATGATTCATTTTCAAACTATATAATTAATGTCATCCCGATAAAATAATATTCTCAATAGAAAAAAAAAAAAAAAAAAACAATTCTCTTCTTCGAGTAATAAAAAATACATAAATAATAATAATTATAATCAATATTTTTGTTTCGTTTGATTGCTCCAAAGAAAAATGATTCGGTAACAATTCCAAGGAATGTTTTTATTCGAAAGAGGAAAGAGGAAAAGAAACAAGAAAAATATAGATAGAATAAATCGAGATGGAAGCATAGAAAAATAGAGAAAAAAAATAGAGAGAGAGAGAGAGAGAGTGAGAAAGAGAAAGAACAGTCGTCGACACGATAGATAGCCACGACACTTGGGAAATCCCAGCTAGGATTATTGCAAGTTATCGCCGTTCACTTGCTGTTATATCAAATATCTCGAGAGACACAAAGGTAATCTATCGGTTATCCTGGGTGTTACTTTGCAACAACCAAACTCTATTTTCTCTCAATACACACTATATAAAATTAATATACTAATATATGATACAAGACATATATGTGAACAAATAGGATTACATTTTAAACAATAATTATAAATGGGAGTTCAAGTAATGCCCTAGACGGTTTCTAGTGCTGGACACTCATATATATCAACAAATAATAATATGAATAATTTAAATACGATTCAGTTTATCAATGACGCTCAAGACAACATCAGAAACAGTCAATTTCTGTTTCCAGCAGGAAAACACTGCATCCCATTAGATTCAGTTAAGTGTTATACCTACATTTCTTTATGGTATTTGTTCATTTATAAAAGGGGTTCCATTATTATTCGTTGTATATGAATTTTTTTTGGTTGATTTTCAAAATGGATTAGGTATAGTTCACGTAATGTTGGTATTATCCTGTCCCCTAGTACCCGACAAAAATAGTCCCTTAACGGCGGATACTGAAAACTACATTGAAAATAGCAAAAGAAAAGTACGAGCAATAAACCAAAGAAGTGAAGACTGACAGTCTTCAGTGACAGAGTTATTGGGTTAGTCAGAGTCAGAGTAAGAGACAGAGTCAGTCAGTAATAGTCAAAGTCAGAGTAAGAGACAGAGTCAGTCAGTTAGATTCAGAGACAATCAGAATCAGAGTCTGATTCAGTCATTCAAAGTAAGAATCAGAGTTAGATTCAGTCAGTCTGAGTAAGAGTCAAAGTCTAAGTCAGTCAGTAAGATTCAGAGTCAGATTCAGTCAGTCAAAGTAAGAATCAGAGTCATTCTGTCAGAGTCAGATTCAGTCAGTCCGAGTAAGAGTCAAAGTCAGTCAGTCAATAGGAGTTAGAGTCAGAGTAAGAGACAGAGTCAGTCGATCAGATTCAGAGTCAGAGTGAGACAGTCAAAGTCAGAGTCAGTNCACTGATGCCGAATATATACGGCGCTCGTACGCACAAGTAAGTAATCGCACAGATGCCGGATATATACGGCACTCGAAACGAAAGGGTTAAAACGTAAATTCATTTGTTCGCATCGCTAATCCTTTACGAATACAACACAACACACCCCTACTATCATCATTATCATCATTATCATTATCTTCATTCAATTTTCTTAAACTTCTATCTTTTCACCTCGTACCATCCAACCTTTCTTCTCTCACAACACCACCCACTCTACTCGCATCATCTTATTCATCTTCTACGTTCTACTGTATTTATTATAAAAATAAAATGAGAAAAATCGTACCGATGACGAATTTTTCCGAACGGTATGAAATTGCGTTTGAGCTCTCTTTCACTTCTCTTTATTAATTTTCTTTTTTGTGTGTTTTATTTTCTCTCCTTTTTTTTTCCTTTTTTTTTTTTGTTATATCCGTGCTTCTTCCCTTTTGTCCAACCCTTATATTTTTTACAGAGGTTATCAGATATTTTTTCTTTTCTTTTTTTTTTTACCGTAACCCCCTCCTTTCCTGCTAATCGTTTTTGATCACACCCCCTGTTAACTTCTTCCTCCTCTTCTTATTATATTCAACCCCCGTTTTAAATAAATATCCGTCGTCACGTGACAGGAATTGACAGATACAATCATCATCATCATCATCATCATCATCTTCTTCTTCTTCTTTCTTTCTAAATTTGTTTTCGCGAGAACCCGTAAATGTGTGAGTGCATCTTCAATATAATACATAGGCTCTAAAGTCATATTCATTATCAATTCTTCGACTATACCCAGTGAAAAAATAAATTATTACGTTTTGGTAATATGTACGTGTACGTGTGTTATGTGTACGTGTATGTATGTATGTATGTATGTGTGTATTATTTTAAATGTAATACGTGTAATTGGGACCGTCATCTTCGGTAACGGACCCTTTTTTTTTTACCTGTCAGGTTAGTCAGTGTTTATTTTATCTCTTTTTCGAAAAATGTATCGCATAATTCAATGAGTAGCATCAACTATTCTCACCTGTAAATCATTTTTCTAGGATTATGGATTATTTTTCTTTCTGAGATACTTGTTTGTATGTGTATATGTATATGTGTGTGTATGTAACTATATGCGTGTACCATCTTTTATCTCGGGACGTGTATTATGTTCTATATTAATAATATGTGTGTATGTGTGTGCATAAATACATATATATATATATATATGTATGTATATGTACGTATATGATACGTTTCCATGTCAATAATAATAATGACTATGGGTGTATTAAAGTTGTGCAGAGGTGTTAACATATGTTCGACCAGAATACCCGAATTCGTGTGTGTGATTCGATTCGATTGTATCGAACAAACAACAACTGCACACTGTGTCTGCGTTCACGTCGTCTTTAATCGTCAGAGGTTTTCTTTTAGTAGTTATTGTTTTTTTTTTTTTTTCAATATTTTTTTTCTTTTTTTACATTTTGTTTTGACATTTGTGTCAATTAAAACGATAACGTTCCCACGGTTTGGTTTGTTCTCTCTCTCTTGACGATTATTTCCTCCTCATGTTTGTATTCAGAGAACGGGAAAGATGTCAAATAAAAAGTGTTGTCCTCTCTTGCGTTGTTCAGATTTTCATTTTGTTTTGTTCTATTTCTCCTTATGGGGATTTCATAATTTGTAGACGACAAATCGATGGATTAACAATCTTGTTAAAGGTTGGTAAAAGTCGTCCTGGTAAAGTGGGAGATGCCGAGGAGGAACGTCTCGAAACCGGGGAACGTATCGTTAGGCGCGTGGCAACTTGCCTAGCAGCGTCTAAACGCGCAGGATATTAATTGGCTACGAGGAGATGCTGATATTGGCTGGCAGGATAGGGTGCCACCGATCCTAGTCCGAAATTGTTCAATCCCTCGACGAGAGCATTTTTGTCGGGCTGTTGTTGAGCCGTCGCTGCGTTGACGGTGCCAGTAGTGCTGGGTGTCGCAGCTGATCCAACAGGTCCCAGATTGGTGGCGTTTTGGGCGTTAGCACCGTTGCCAGTTGCGAGGATGCCGTTGCTGGTTGCACCACCGGCGTTGGTACTGGCGCCGGTTCCGGTACCACCGCTGGTACCGTTGACGCTACCACCGTAAAACTGGTATCCGGCGATCGTACCTGGGTCGAGGTAGGACGACGGGAATTTGGCGGCACCTGCGTAAAGATCGCTGGCCAGGTAACCGCCATGGCTCGAGGAATCGAAAATATTGCGATGAGAGAATTGCGGATGATAAGCCGCGGTAGCCGCAGCAGCGGCAGCTGCAGCAGCTGGTCCGTGCTGGAAGAAATATGCGCTCGGATCCGTGTGCTGTTGAGTTGCGGCCCCACCACCACCCACTATGCTGCCAGGTGATAGGCTGCGATTGCTCGGTGAACTCTGCGACACAACTGGTAGACCCCCGGCACCGGTGCTACCACCTTGTTGTTGAACCTGCTGTTGCTGTGCTTGCTGCTGTGCCTGTTGTTGCTGTGCCACCGCCTGTTGTTGCTGTTGTTGCTGTTGCTGCTGTGCCGCCGCCGCCGCTGCCGCCGCCTGTTGCTGGTGTTGATGATGATGATGGTGATGAATCTGTTGTTGCATCGCACGCTGCTTTATATAATTCGAAAACTCGGTTGGTGACATCCTGAAACCGGTTAGACAGAAGAACGTTGAGAGAGAGCTGAGCGAGACGGTATTTTTTTTTTTTATCGTTTTATCATGAACGACACACAGGTGATAGGAGAAGGCAGTAGGACGTACCTGTTCGCTCGTTTGCTGCTAGTCTTCAGCTTGGTGCTGCCGAATTTCGTTTGAGCGAAGGTGGCAGTCGTGAAGGTGAGCGGTGCCGTTGTACGCGGTATGAAGTTTGGTACGGGACTTGGCGAACCCTTGAACGAGTTGCCAATCGGCGTAGGCGAGGGTGCCGAGGAAGAACCGGAACCATGACTGTTCTGCTGATTGTTGGATGAGCCATTGCTGCTACTGTTGCTACTGGCTAAAGAATTCGGGAAGGGCGAGGTGGATTTGGGACTTAGACTGAGACCACCCAAAGACGTACCGACAGCCTCGATAGGTCTGAAGCATTGGGCCTCTGGATTGAAAGTTTTGGTGACCTCTCGATCGGCTGAACTCTCGTCATGGGGATCACCGGTTTCCGAGTAGAGAATTTTCACGGCATTCATCTCGCCTATTCGATAACTGACCTCACCAGGGTCCACCCAAACGGCCAATTCGGCTGGTAAATTTTCAAGGATGTCTTGAATCGGTACACCACTTTCTTTAGCTGCACGTTCCAGGACAGGGTCTACGGGATCTCCAGTTTTCAGGCATCTGAATGCCGAACCCTTGAACGGTTTCTCCGGATACCAATGACCTTTGAACTTATCTTTCAATGCTTTTTCAAGTTCCTCCCCAAATATGTTGACCCTCCTCCGTGGTAACTTGTTATATAGATACGATATAACGAAATTTAGTGCCACCTGCACCTCGATGTGCATCTTGGACCTCGGTGGAAAAATCTTCGGGCTGTTCTCGCTCGAAGCGACCTTGGATAAATCGAGAGTGGTACCACCGCCCGATCGACCCTTTTCCCACCAATAAGGGAATATTATATTCGTTATGGTTCCTCCCAATTTGAATGTGTTGACGATGACGGCGACGACGACGACGACGACGACAACGATGATGTCCTTCGTGACGTCGTCGCGATTGACTCCAACTGATTACGAATCTTTAACAGAAAAAATTACAAAAATAAGCTAACAATATCAAAAAATTCCCTATACGATTTAATTTACCCTACGTTACTACAATATCATATTTTTTAACCATAAATTGCAATCATTTCGTATAATTCCATTCTTACATTTTTCATTTTAACTAAGTGTATTATTACACTTATATAAGGTAGTCTAGTCGAATAGGAATTGGCACACATTATGGAACGTATTCCCTTAGCTCAGCTCAAAAAGGGGGATGACAATAAACGGGATTATTGCTCGGAGACCTTCGAGAATAACTTCCCCATTGTGAATGTCCTTCTCTAACTATAATACCCCAACTAAACTAACTATATGGATATCTTAACAGGATAAAGGTTGGCTACAGTGAAATGGGTTCTAACTTTGTATTTGACCGAACACAAAACAAATAGAAAGTCATCCTTATGCAATTAGTCAATCGATAAGAATGGTCAAGTCATAAGTAACTTCCGATACAGCTATGTAGAAACTATTTTTCGTAATTATCAACTATAAGTCACCGAAACAAACGGAATTTTTGATATCACTGTATAGATGAGGATTCAATTTAGTCATCTGTCAATTTTTTGATGTAGTCAATGTTACATTTAACCGTTTTTTCTTAACCACTCAAAATGGATAGTAAAAAGTGCATATTCGACATGCAATGCTTTAGGAATTGAAACAAGGCAATGGCATTAAAGTGGCAGTTGAAATAATATGCAGGGTATTGGGATCTATGGCAGGGGCGTGGCGTAGCAATTCGACCTATCTACTCTAATTTTGAATTTAGCCACCAGATAGCGTATTCAAGTGCTAGAGATCCCAATACGGTGCAGAACTGATAACTGATAGGACAGGCAAAAATTGCTTTGTAAAATTTCGTTCTGAAGATACGACCTTAAAAAATGAATCGAGTGCGAGGACGTATTTCCGAACTTTGACGAAACCTTTCAAAGATAATATTGAAACAAAATTCAATGGATACGTCCAACAGATGCAAAAAAAAAAAAACAATCTCTATGAAAAGTGTCCTGCACTATCAGTGACAGAAACGTCATTCTGTGTTTCATAAAAAAAAAAACGGAAATTATTTACGACTCGACTTAAGGGGACCTTCTACTCTGCAATTTAAAAAAATTTTTTTTTTTT